TATCGCTGCCAGAGTCTCGCTGCGGAACCACCTGGGATCGTCGTAGCCCAGGTCATATGACCAGGACTCACCGTTTCCACCGGTCTTGCTCCAGACCTCGCTGGTGGGCCGCTCCGGGGTTTGTCATGGGCCAGGTTAGGCAGCCCGGCTCAGACGTTCTTGTCCAGCTCCAGCATCACTCAGCACGCACTGTCTCCCGCCAGCTCGTGACTTCTCCGCCGACCGCCTGTCGCGTGCGCTCTGCCTCGTCTTTCACCCTCGGCTCCCACAAGTTTAGGCAATCTGGTACCGCTTCCGGTGGCTCTCTCCCGATACAGCGAGTCGTCTGTGCGTGACGTCATGGGGCCGTTCTTCATTCGGTCTATCCTAAGTTCCAACTGCACCAGTGAGGCGATCGCAGTGTCCTCGTACTCCATCACGGCGTCGCACTCAACACTGAGCTCCTCAGTAGACACCAAAAACTCCAATTCTTCATTTAGCTTCACGAGCTCGGTGTTGCTCAGTTTCAATCTTTAATAAAGCACGCTTAGAGCATCAACGTCTAGTTGAAGGGATGCCAAAGATGCTCCTACTTCGTGACCAAACGAGTATTCTGGGCCCTCCTCGCTGCCTGTCGTACTTTCAGGCGTTCCATGGTCTTGTCAATCCAGTGGCCTGGTTAGCACAACTTCCTTTATCTTCCCGGGTTTCGGCACCAAATTTTATTGTAGAACCAGATTGGACCACCTCAACTGAAAAACTGTTTATTAAAGGTACACACTGAAAGTTACATTGCTATAGAGACAATTTCGAGCAGAAGACGCGTTGGCTGCGTTCTTTCAGGAGGACCCAACAGAAAAGAGATATGAGCCACACTACGGCAACCCAGAGATACCCCCGTTTCTCTCTCTCTTGGTCATAAAGAACATCACGCCAACCACTTGGTCCAAACATTCTCCCAAAAGCTCCCAGTCCCAGGGTCGGGTTTCCAAACTCTGTGCCCCCTCGAACCGGCTCAAGTCTTAATTTGTGGTATATGAGCCAGTAGACCCAGGTGGCGTGTGAAACTCTATCTGCAACACATTTTAGATTTCCTCAGCATTAGTCTTTAGGGTGCTCCCCCGACGTGGCACAGCACAACAGCGAGTGCACATCCCTTGGGGTCAATGGGATGCTTTCCTGCATGACTGGTATGAAGCTCTTCGTCTTGCCTAAAATATTTGGTGAGTGCCGTAGGCAAGAGATACAGAGCTACCACGAGCAAGGCGTCATTGACCTTGGCGGTGCACAATTTACCAACTTAGTCTGACGTGCCACAGGGATCGATGGGTACAGCAGAGACCTGTCCGTACCCATGTGGATGGCCACTTGGATAACGAGTACACCATGTTTTCATACATGCCTCCCTGTCCCGGGTAGCTGGCATCTCCCCTCCCATTCTCCTCGTCCTTCTCTCTTCCCCCTCTTGCACTGCTCACGTGTTGCATTATGGGACGGTTTGCATAGTGTGTTGTTTCCCATAATGCAACATTATGGGTAATGTCACATTATGCAAAATGTCTTATTGGCGACGTTTCGCACACATCGGCAACGTTTTGCACGGTTACGCCGATGACGCTCATGCCGGAAATGGGTGCATAAGAGCTGCGCTCCAAAAAGATTTTACAAACTAGCCTTCTTTTCACACGGGAAAGCACACCATGGTCTTTATTGTTGGAGAATTGAAGTGCGATTTACAGTGGTACGGGAAACAGGCATTCAACAAGATCCTGCGTGGGACGTTTTCATGGGACTGAGCTAAGGTAAGTACTCTTTTTAAAATCGCACACTAAGGAATTGGTATGCGCAAACAACTTCCCTGTGGAAGCCCGTCACTTTACCATCATGTGTAACATGTCGAGACAATAGCTGCATCCAATTTACTTGCACCTCCTGCACCAGAGCAGAAAGGTAGTGCAGTGTACTTCCGGCATATGTATTGAGATACGACCGGATGCCCAGATGTAGGAGGTGCAAGTAAATCAACGCAGCGATTGTAAACTGTCGGATCTCTGGAACTACCGTGCTTGAATGACAGCTCGGAAAATGGTCAGCCCGGTCTTGTAAAAAGAAAAATCTCGGAACTAGCTGTCGTATGAAAGAGTGTGACAAACTATGTCCACCAGACTTCACATGGTGAAAAAGGTTTTCTCGTCCAACTCTTTCCCACAACTTTCATATGCACACGGCTATCACACACTGCATATGCTGCAACTGTACACTAGAGCAGTGCAGAACCTGCAAGTACCAAATTTTTACAACAAAAATGAATTCTGCAACACTGACCATGCGAAAATAGAAAATTCTTGGCTGCTCCACTTGGCAGCTTTAATACTAGTCTCCTCTGTTTTATGTCAGAGCTTGATGCTTTCACGGTAGTTGTTCAAAGGCATTCCCAAGTATACACCACAGGCTCTCTAGACAGCTGAACAGTTTCACACGTGTGGAGTCTCGTTCCAATGGCTGTGCCCAGATCCTCAAGCGAGGGCCTTTTGGGTGCAGAATGTTTCGGAAAGTTCAACAGCCGCCGAGGCATCTCCGTTGCTACAAAAATTCGCAACCTCATCTGAGTATGTTAATATTTTAAGGTCGTACTAATTTAAAGTAAAACCACGGATATTCAGAGTGTTGCTTAGGCAGTAGGGCTCAAGAATTTAGCAACCCTGCCGGACAGCGGATAACTCGGAAATGTGCTTCGTCACTTGTTCATTAATTACAAGAATAGTTATGCAATTACTAACATATTGTGCTAGGCTCAATCTACATTCACAGAACTAAATGTGCTACTAAGGATGCTTGCTCCAAGCAGGCCAACGAGTCAACGACTTCGCCGTGACATGTTGCAGCCATCGCTGTGGTTGTGCCACAAAATTAATGCAGGGCTGCAATTTTTTTTTTCTTCAAATGAAGTGCTTGTGATTTTCTGGACTTGGTTTGATAGAGACAGCTTCTGCCAGTGCTTCCATCGGGGATGCACATTGGCGCTGTCTGTCGTGTAGTCCCGAAGCACTTGCGACCGGCTTACGAGAACGAAGGTCTTGAAGTATTTGCAATATCGAATCTATTTGAGAAATGGTTGTGCACGATTGTCGGAATTATTTCGAGCTCATGGTGAAAGAAATTCAAAATGAATGCAGATCTGAAGTGCTCTAGGGCTGCCCGACAAATAATGCTAGTGTGCTTTCTCGTAGCAAATAATTGCGGCGCACTCGGCCAAACACGAGCGCAAATCTGCCTTTACTCGTTTTGGTTATTTCGATTTTTCTGCGACTGTTCACTGTAGTAAAAACTTCATGGGACAGGGCTGGAAGTGCTGCTAATCTTCAAGGCCACCATGCCTTTGTACACGTAAATATTGAGATTATTCTCATGTTTTATCTTGAAAATAGCTGTCGGCAGTTCAATGACCATCAAAAATTTTAAATTGTTTTGTTGGGGCCTTTTAAATATTAATTGATAATTATGCATGTACCAGGTAACCGAAAATGACTTGCAACAGACAACAGGGCGCTTTCAAAGACATTTTCTTGCCCAGAAATAAAAGACAATGAATAAAGCAAAATCTTGTTTTAACTGACATTTCAATATGAAAAGCAATAGCCTAAACAAAGAAAGTATGCAGAGCTTTCCACCAGAGCTAAATAAAATGCAGGTAAAAGAAATTGTCAATGTTTACGGATGTACTCGCTGTCGAACATGTGGATCATGCTTGCGCTGTGTACATGTCCTTTTTTTATGCAATCTCCGTAAAACTAAACATTACCGATTTGAACACATTTTTCTTTCTAGGGGAGAATTCCTAGGGTTGGCAACACTACATGGGGGAAGAGAAAGCAGTGGTTTCAATATCTACACTTTTTGCATTAAAACAGAAGTGCAATCTTCCATTTTGGGTTGTAGCCTCCAATTTGCAAGAGATTTGTAAGTTGACCCAGTAATATTCTGAGATGCCCCACCCCCAAGAGGATAACCCAACCCTAATTTGGCACAGTTTTTTTTTTAGACACCGAAAGATAGTGGTGGCTTCCGCAGAAATGGTGTTACTTCGCCACTGCGGGAGACGAGTAAATGTTTGCAAATCACAAAATCTAAAACTAGCATTTCTTCAACTTTTTTTTTTAGAGCGCAGCTCTGAGGCGCTTGTTTCCGGGCTGAGTGCTGTCGGCGTAACCGCGTGACGTCGCAAGGGTCTCCAGTGACGTCACATGACATCACGAACAATGTCGCGAGTGAAGTCACCCGTTTGCTTTCGTAGGCAACACTGATCACTAATTATTTCAATGGAGTTGAACAATGGAATTATGAGATTTACATTGGGCAACAGAGGCCAAAGGAACAAATCGAACTCGGGATCCGCAAGGTCCGGTAGGGGAAATGAACCCCGATTTTCAGCCCCCATAAATAAACTGCACTGCAGAAAGCTGAAACAGTAAATGTGAAGCTGGCACTGGTGATAAAACGTGATATTGCATGGAAACAGAACAATGAAATTTCACAGAGTTAAAAAGGAAGTCCACCTAGGCCTAATATTTGTCAAACCAAGATGTGCCATTGCGAGTGCCTGTGGCGTTTATTCACCCACCCTCGAGGTACTAGGTGTACCACAGAGGAGAGTGAGCACATAAAAAAAATTAATGCAAGCTTTTTTTTTTTTTTTAAAGAACATTACTAATTGCAAGAATAGAAGCAGAAGGTGGCTCAAGTCGCGATGTTCACTAAAAAAAACTATTGCAAAGCAAAAAAATTAGGTTGTGTTTTTTTGCTAACAAGATTGTCATTGAAGGAAAACTGCTCTCCAAGTCAACTAAAAAATGTTTTCTGAATATACTGACGTTTTTAATAATCTCGATCAGTTGAACAAAAAACCCTAATGCTTAAAATCTGTGCCAGAAGAAACTTGAACAATGAAAACATGACCATAAAAGTACAACAATAAAATATTGTACTGTGCCAAATAAAGACTTTCCTGATAAACTGATAACTGTGTTCGAAAAATTAGTTGTTTTTATTAACATCGGACGCTTCACATCTTGGGGGCGCCATAGGCATCTGGCATTCTTTCGATGGAGAACCTGCGTGGGAGAAAATTGTTCGTCTAAGGAGAAGTGTCGTTTGCTTTCCTCGCATGTTCAAGTGTCTGTGCTTCCATAATGTGAGTTTTGATGTGCTAACCTGGAGCACAGTATACTTACCGCCTCTGGTAGATGTACATGATGGGTACCCCAGGTATCTTGCGTATACGCCTCTTGAGGTCTTTGTCGCAAGTCGCCACAATGTAGCATTTGTGCTGGAAGAAAGCAAATGAGATGCAAGGGAACACCCTTCGCTGAATTTTGCAGCCCCATCGAAAAAAAGGTAGACCGTTGACATGCCCACTCTTTTGTTGATTCGCGCCGTGTCTACTCGCAGCTGCAACACACCAAAAAGCCGTACCTGCATGACCCGCTGGACGAGGCAGTCGTCCGCGTAGGTGCCCGTGTGAACGCAAGGGAGGCGCACAAACCTCGGATCTTTGACTATCCTGAAAAGGATAACGCCGTGTCACGGCCTGGCACCACACCACGATGCGAAATATAATATAGATGTGGACACCGCGCACATCGCAGTTGCCGGACAAAGTCCTCGCCTTGGTTGCAAGCGGCATCACCAGATGCCTCTTTGATGAGTGGCTCGCAGCAGCCTGTTGCAGGCCCCTTTTTTCATGCTCCTCTACAGGAGACATCCTTGTTTCTAAAGCCGTTTTCTGGGTGTGCCGCTTCATGTAAAACTTTGCACTTTCGCCACATGTGTTGCTTAGGTGCAGCTTTGCCACGGTCGGAGCAGATGCACTGAGCAGAAAGTGCGTGCACCCAAGTCTTAAAGCAACGAGCCTTTTTTTCCCCCTCGATTATGGTGTTTGGTTGGCAAAGTTTCCGTTGGCATAGGTTACTCTGCCGTGTGCCAGTAGGACGTAATCTGGTCGATCAAGTCGAAGCATTCACCGTGCCATATGTCCTCACCTAAAGAGTGTCTTGCACCATAACTGGAGTCAAGGTTAACTTTGCAGTCCCGGACAGACTGCACGTCATTCGCGACGTTCGAGGAAGTTTGTGGAAAATTTCTCTCTTTGACCTTTTGAGTTCAACGTAAAAAGTTTGGGTCTTCCGTATTCATTCTCCGGTTGCCGACAACAGGATGAAAACGACAGGGAGGGTCCTTTGGTCGTCCTGCCTCTAGCTTCGACAATGCTTTGGCGTTCCGTCGGCCCTCAAGCATGCACGTAGAAGGTGAGGGGCGCAAGCTGGAGGCCGGGCATTCGAACGATGTGCCCCGCAGTTCTCATCCTGCCAGTGACTATGGCACTGTTTACCTCAGAATCCTCGTACGAAACGGCGTCTGCAATCGAAGCAGAGTGAAAGCGTTTCTCACACCCCTTGCTTACCTCAGTGCGACTCTGTACTTGCTTCCGAGCTTCTCAAGCTCGCCGATGACGCAGTCGGTGACGTACGGGATGCCTGCGGACAGGAGGCGAGTAGCGTCAACTTTGTCGTTTACTGCTCGGACAACATTGCGCGAGCGCTAAAAGTAGCTAGCCGGGTATCGGAACGAAAGGCTTTTTTGTTGACGTTCCAGCTTCGTTCCATAGAAAAGGGTTCCGTTCTGGTCCTGCTCCAAGACAACAACAAAATGATAGCACAAAATAAGTGTTTGCATGCAAAAAAAAAGGTTAAAACTAGAATTACAAAAGAAAAGAAAACGAATTTTTTTGCTGAGTAGGTAATTTTCAGGAGCTGTAGCAAGCACTGCAAAATCCTGTAAGGACGCCCATCCAAAATGGAGAGAGAAATGGTGAAAAACATGAAGTGGGCTATCTTTGGTGATGAGACAGCAAAACTTTCTCAAAAACTAATGATAATCACAAGCACCCGCTTCAAACCACATGACAAGGGAACCGACACCGCAGATCTCGGACACAGAAAACGCTTTTCACAACGTGATAAGCACGTGGAAATTCGTTACAGGTTTGTTTGCCAAAGAGAAAAGGACACCACACACTCTGGATGCAGCAGACTAGAAACCGCGGCTACAAACTTACATGCCTTGGGGGCCGATATCGTGTGTGCAGATTGCAGACAAATGCGGGAACCCGCTGCAAACTCGCTCGTCACACTTAAAGGGTTCTATAGATTGCTCAGTTGATTTGATCGGACATCGCGTGATGTCAGACATCGCCTGTCGGACATCGCGTGATGTCCGACAGGGAATCGGGAAGATGTTTTGTCATTTTTATAGTGCTGATATTTAGCCAGAAAAATGGGGTGGGCGATCTCTTGGGGGAGGGCGCCCTTATGTGATTATACACTTATTGCAATGATGAAAAATTTTAAGGATCTGGGTAAAATTTGCAGCGAGCAAGAACGGCTTGGTGCACTGGGCATGATCTCAGAAGGAGCAAGTCAAGTGAACTCTGTGAAATTCAAAACCACCATTCCGACAAAATAAACTTCAGAGCCGAGATTGCCTGCTCTACGCCGGCCTGTGTGGATGGTACACCAAGGGCTACTTGCACTAAAATGTGCAGTTTCGGTTTTGCATTTCTTTTATTCTTCCCAAAATGTCAATGCACATTCGTGGTTCTCAAAGCATTTCGAACACGCATGTTTTGTCCAGGGGGCATAACCCACTCTTCAAATGAGTGCCCTTCAATAATGGAGGCGAACCGACGGTAGCCTCCTACCTCACTGCATGGAATGAATAGCGAAATACCTGAGCTTTCCCCTTTAAGAGACACTGACACCCCCCCTAATTTTTTTTATTTTTATATTTTGTCATTTTGGTATGGTGTCGGAAGACTACCCAAATATTTTGCTACAGCGTAACGTAGAATATTAATAAAGTCAGTTGTTGCGCAACTGCTCTAAATCAAAACTGGACTTGGGACGAAGAAGAAATATAGAGGAGGAGAATGTTACGTTTAAATGCTAACACTAAAAGCGCACTTTGTGTCATTGTTGTCAGTGTGCGCTCTAATATAGGAGTGGCATTCTTTCAACAAAAATACTTTATTTTTTTAATATATCATTATAAAACTGCAAAAAAATGAAAATTATAAAAAAAATTACTGGTGCGATTTGTACTTTTTGCGCAGTGCCGTAAATATTTTCAGGGTGTACTACTTTTCTACAAGGCTGCGATGTGGTCTTTTAAAATCTCCCCGCAGAAATAACCTTAAACAAAAAAGCGGGCAATGCCATGTTTGCATTAAAAGGGCGGTGCAACGATTTTAAGATTAAAACAATCTCGTCATTTTTACGTTGTTTAGCATGTCACGGAGGATAGAGAAAACACCTCCTTCATTAAAAATGTTGTGATTCCGCTGCATAACCGCAAAGCAAAAGTCAAGCTTTTTCCCTCACCTGCAGCCCCAAGTGGCAGCCGAAGGAACTACGGCAAAAGGATTACGTGACTTCGCTCGGCTCTAAGCTGCAGCATAACGCCCACTAATGTCAGCAGAAAGAGGGAGAGGAAGCGTCCTCCGAGATAGCACACGGGAATCTACACGGCACTCCGAATGACGTCATTAGGAGGGGACCAGGTGTGACCCTGAAGGCTGGGAGTGAGTTGAGGGGTGCCCGAAATGCCAATAGTTAACTTTTTTTTTTTACACAACTAGGACACGCAGGAGAAATCGGTTTTCGGTTCTTTAGCTCAGAAGTGTCAGAGGGCAACTTCCAGAAATCTTTGACCGAAGTTCGGAAATCGTTGCACCCTCCCTTTAATTGTGTCGTACAGTGTGCACATGAGGTTAGACATTCGCAGCAATCTCCCGACATTTACACGGTAAAAAGATGTAGCCATTTTGAACGTATCCACCCAACATCTCGCGAATTTTGTGTGAACGACTGTACTCTAAGAGTTGGGAACGAAAAAAGGGTGTAATATGGCAGCTTACACTTGGCATAGAGACAGTCCATCATGGACTGGATGACGTCCAGCTTGTTTTTGATGGCGAAATTGACGAAGTTGGTGTCGATGAGGATCCTGAACGGGGGCCCGAGCTGTGTGTTGTATTTGAAGAACAGCGCGGACGAATACTGGGGCCTGGAAAGAAACAATCGGTCAAGCTAGAGCCACGAAATATGCTACGCTCGAGAGTAAAGACACTTCAAAGTAAAGACACCCTTTGTAACAGGCGGTAGCTTGCGCCAGCTAGCCTTGGAACTTAAAATCATTGTTGCCAGTTATCAGAAGTTTTAACTGGAATCGCAGGAAACGCTTTTCGGTTCTCCAGAAATGTTAGAAGAGTCCGCGACAAAGCAAAACAACATCGCCTGAACTAATGCACCTCAAATTCGGGAAGCCACGTTTTTTTTATCGCAATGGTTGTCAATTGCTCCCGCTCGGCACTAGGCAACAAAATGGCGGCACACGCAAGAAAATTGAGAATGAAGTGCCCATACTCTACGATTTAGCTCATTTATGGTGGCTCTGAATCCAACACGTCGACTCTCAAGAAAACAAATACATTCCAAAGGCAGCCAATCACTCACGCTTCTGTCACTTTCACTGTGTGCGGGTCTTCTTTCTTCGGCCTTTTTGGGGGCAAACGATCTTTGTCCTGCCTACAGAACAAAACAAGACTCAGAAATCATCACATCACGTGCCAAGAACCCAAGGAGGTCAGAAGTACTAGGAGGGGGCACGTCGCAATATTGGTGAAGCCTAGTCATAAAAAGTTTAAACGATGTTGTGGCCAACGTGACCGTAGATCTCTCTGAAGAAGGATTCCTTGCAGGGTAGCGCCTGCTCCATCTGGCAGGTTTGATCAGATCGGAGGCTAGACTGTGGTGCATTCTAGTACCCCATAGCTAGACGAAGGCTAGCTACGGCCACGTGATGTGGTCACGGTGGCCTGATAAGTGAGGAGAGTAAGGAGGAAAATGAGAAAGAGGCGAGACGTCAAGGGACCATCGGTTGCGGAGGCTACGCGGCTGGCGTCATGCCCTCTCCTACCCTTCTATCCTTGCAAGGAACCGACAGATGAATGATTCACTGGCAAACACTCACAGTCTTGGATCTCGAAGGCTGATCATCCGCTTCATCTGTGCGAACTTTTGACCACGCTTTATTTTGGCTTTAGGCTGGAAATAAATTGACAAAAAGCACGCATTAAACCAAAAAAAAATAAAAAATCGTAGTTCGAAGCATTTTGACGTCGTCTCGTCAGCTCTCCGGCAACCACAAGAGAACCAGGGAAAGGATGAACTCTCTTCTCACCGGGACTCTCCCTTATGTGTCCCAGACTTTCCCAGACTTCGCTATTCTCCCTCTAGAAGATTATTCCGTCGCTCGAATTTTGTACAAAAACATGCTTCCCCCTCTCTGCTCAGTTGTGGTGCGAAATGGATGCGACGTCAGTGCAAGGCAGTTGTACCACGCGCTTGATTTAGTAGTATCTTCAGAACTTAGTGATTGCGTATACGTTTGTATACTAAATACGCTCGAAGCAAAGATAACATCGCAGGCCAGACTTTTAGCGCTAAAGGACACTCGAAACAACGAACCCGGCAAGAAACGTCACCAAGATCATTTGTGTGGTTCTGACGTTTCCAATTTTGTTTAAACCTCGATGCACAGCGTAAGCGCTAAAAGTGGGACCGCAAATGAAGGGATGATAACACCACGTACCATTATTATTTCTGCTGTGCAGAATAAGAAACGGCAAATAACAGAAGCGAAATCTCCAAAACACACGTGTGCCACCTAAATGAAAACAACGCGTGCCCAAGGTTGCTTGGTGAAATACGCACCACCCCCAACTTTCGCCTCTCTTTCGATAGGCGGACAAGAGCGGCTTAGAATCGGATCTTTTAACGGGGAGTTACGAGTTCGCCTCCAATGCTTAGTTGTTGTGGTACTCGCCATCCAGCTGCAATCATAGAGTTATTATAATGTACGCTAGAGGTTCAACTGGCGCTAGTGTCTATGCGACTTCCGTGACGCAAATTGAAGCAGACAGCAACCAGTCTACTTTTCCAGTCTTCCTGTGTATTCCTATGGGAAAGCGCGCGTGCATTTTGTCTCTTCGCCGGAAAATAACACGGAACACTTTGGTTATTGGGGTCGTACCGAATAGTATGTACCTTGATTAACACTGTAAAAGTGTAATTGCTTTAGTTAGCGCATTTTTCTTCATCAGTGACCGATGTTTAACTTCGCTACATTCCAGTTCCAAACGTGTGTTCCGCAGCAGGTGTGTAAAAACAAGCGACGATTCGAAGCAAAATTACAATCGAAAGGAATGTAGAGTGTGTTCAAGGCTCGCCAGCAATCCGGTGACGCTTATATATTGATAATATGCCAGTCCTGTCACTATATAAAAATGACCCCGTCGTGCATGAGCGGATAAAAACGTTCAAAACGTAGAGAATAAAGTCCGTGGACTATAAAAGTTGTCTCTTCGTATTGTTTTCTCTGCCGGGCAGCTTTTATCGGGCAATTGTTCTCAAAGATTTCGAGCGTGCGAGTGATATTTTGAACGTAGAACAAGCAGCTTCGCTCAGAGCAGAAAGAATAAAACGGTACTTACTTATTTAAAATAGGAATAGATTACGTGGCCTTCAATTAATTTTGATCGTTTATGCACGTGTAGTTACTGATCCGGTGTTACTGCGTAGTTCTTGCCGTCTTTCTTAATTTCCAGATGTTCTTCGTTCGTTTGGCACGTATATCCCCCACGCTGAAAAGCGCCGACGTCGTGTTCGTGCTAACAGTGTCCGACAGTGCACATAAATACACGTACGAAGCTGTTTTAGCACCATTTTTAATGCGATGAATTTGAAAGAAAAACACCGTAACTGACCAATTATTTCGTCGGCCTGACTGAGAAATGTTCCAAGCTACCTAGTACGTACGAATTATTCGGGATATTTGCTCTTATGATCGAGCGCAGAGAGAAAATGCACTCGCTTTTTCCCATAGAAATGCATTACCGGAAGTCAATTTTAGACTGGTTGCTGTCTGCTTCAATTTGCGTCAGCACACTAGCGCCACTTGAACCTCTAGCGTATATTATAGTAACTCTATGGCTGCAATAACGTTGTTCCCTAGACTTATTCGACAGTTTTAGTAGCCCGTACGCAAAAATCGCGTTCTCAGTGAATTCCCTGCCAACCTTCTCACAATAAAAGAAACCGAGTTCAAGAAGTGAACATTTTCATATGTAACCGTTCCTTCTCGTAAAATTGTAGTAAAAAAAGAAAAAATAAATAATAATAATAATAATAAAGTTACTGGTTGCGTTTGGAACATTTAAAATGTCCGTCCTCCGCAATCTTTTTTTTTTTTTCACAGTTTATTTGTTTATTAGTTTGTTTGCCGCATTTCATTAGCTCATGACACAACATCAAATAGTGCGCCGCTTTTGTTTGTCGCCTCCGCTGCCTTGTTGCTACAATGTACTGTACATACAGTCCTTTCGAGAACAAAAAAAAAAAAAAAACGCAAAAATCAAAGGTTTATAACACCTCTTGCTTATCGTTTCCAAAAAAAAGATTAGACGAAATTGAGAGCGTAGCTCTAGAACAGCTGTGGGTTGACATCCCTCAACGAACGCTATCCTCTCCAAGCCACAAACAGGGATACCCAGTCCTTAAACGTCCCTTTATCAGATAGCCAAATGGGCCCCATTGGTCAAGACGAGCTGTTTAGGAATATTTTCTCCCCGTGTGCCCCCAGGCTGTAAACGCACAGATTGCCACTGCCCGCAAATTAAAGCGAAGCATGCGAGAGATAAGAACACCCAGATATAAGGATAAGGCCCGAATCGTAGATGGCGTCACAGACGGATCGCTCGTTCGCGCTAGCAGACGACGTACTCGGCTCGTCTGCTTCCAGAGGCTGCTGCTGTTGCAGACGACTTCTGGGAAAACAAAAGGAGATACCGCGCTATCTGTTCGGTGATTATGATCTTAGTGCGGATTTGAGGTTTGAGGACAGCGGCTGCGGGGTTTCTTGTGCGTTGGTGGCGTGAATCGGGAACACACCTGAACCTAAGGCTCCTTTTTCTTGTTGTAAATTTGGCAACGCGCCCTCCAGCGCCGGCGTTTTCGCGCCGCGAAGATTTTTTCGGGGAGTGATTGCTTTTTTCTAAAGTCTGGTGTCCCGTTCCGGGAATATTTCCAAGACGTCGCCCCTTGGTCGAATCCACGACCTTAGGATTCATGGCTTTGGACTTCGTGGCCGGTTGCTTAGGAGGTGAGTGGCTTTTCGACAAAAAAAATTGCGCGTTCCATGTTTGATTCTGCATAACTGACTGATTTCATATAAAAGAAAAAAAAAAAGTATTTGGTATATAAAAAAACAAAAGCTTACTTTATTTCAGTCCGAATTATTTCAACTTTATTTAGTACCATTCTTGCTCGAGTAAGCTGAGTTATGGCTGAGTTTATTCAAAATTAATTTTATTTTATGTAAATTGAATTTATATAATGTATTAACTAAGTTCATTGAAATTTCAGTACGGAATGACTAAATCAAAGTGAGAAATAATTGACATTATTTCGTTACATTTTTACTTAGCTCATCGAAACACGCGCACTACCGCGCACGGTAATCATCGAACGACCGCAGTCAACAAACACCTGATATGTCGAGGGAACAATCCTGATTATTCGAAGATAAATGTCTGACTAACTCAATCGGATTAGGAAATGCAACTTTACAGATTTCAGGGAAACTCGGAGGCTCCTTGATATGTTCGCGACTCCAGCAAAACGGACGGCACCTAAAGGAAAAACACTGAACTGGCCGGTACAGGCCCTCTCGCGATTTCTGTTCGTTTTTTGTGGCTTCCGTTATTACATGTGTAATAGAAAACTGGGAGGTTAAAACTTATAATAACGTAAATTGATACAAACTCGGACTTGGAGTGCGAACCGGATACCCATCCGACCGCCTCGGTGGTCTCGGTATTCCAGTGCGGTATTCATACAATGCGAAACGCAAGTTCGTCTGCTTTTTTTTTGCATGGGTTGTGGTGACGTCAGAACGTCGAGCTCTGATTGGTTCTGGTTGAAGGATAGTGGGTAGATCTCATGGCAGCTTGCTTTGAGGTCTACCCACTATCCTTCAATCAGAGCCAATCAGAGCTCGGCCTCATCCTGACGTCATCGCAACTCCAGCAAAAGAAGCAGACGACTTGCTCTCCGCATATGGCGGATACTCAAAAAGGGGTGATGTCCATCACGCTAATGCTGACGCTAATACATGTTGCGCGAATGGAACAGTTGGCCCGGTGACTCTGTCGTAACGGTAGTATATCAGCTTGTTACCCAGGTTGCTCCGAACGCACAACCTACTTAACCGCGTGAACCAGTCATTCCGTGTTTATCAACGTTCATCAGCACCGTGGAAAGACAGTAGGCGGTCCTTGCATTGCTTCCTCGAAGAAAGTCAAGCCTCTGGAAGCTCGCTTACGCCACCACATCACCGCAGGTTCGAGACGTGGAGGATGAAAATCGGGGCAAACCATTTTGAGTTCAATGCTTGCTTGCTGATGCCCCAGCGTTGTGCGTTGACCTGGCACAAGGCACGGCACGACTTGCTTTAGACCGCCATATTTTCCCGGTAGGAGCGACCGCTATCGGTCGCCGGAGTCGCGAATACAATCCAGTATATTCCTATTGAAAAAAAAAATATATATATCATCTGATTTTTTCAGTAAACATATCAGAAGTTAAATAAATTATATAAGACGCATCTGACGCATAAAGTAGTTTTGTCTCCACTGCCCGGGCGTCCGGCATTCGGCGAGTTCAGTGGCGACAGAGGCAGCTAACTTTGCGTCTACCCTCTACTCATTACAACCAGAGTTGTCATGTTGGCCGCAGTGGGAAAGGGAAGAACACAAAGTAGGGGACGGGGCGGGAGAGAGAGAAATAGCCCCTTTTGTGGGCAAGACAGTCGTAAGCTGGGCCAGTACGGTAGATAAAAACGCGGACGAAGAAAGGAGGAAAACGCATTGGCTTCGCCAACACGCACGTGGTTGGCGCAGAGCCAAATATCCTAAGAAGGTTTTTCTTGGAATTGTGTCAAATCCAGCACACGCCAGGAAACCTAGACAGGTCCCTGAGCGCATTGCCCTCTGTGTACGCACATGGACTCATGGTCTGGCGAGAACGCTGCAGAGATGACCGTCTCTATAACAAAATAATAATATTGAAAATAATATTAATATTGTTATTGTTATTTTAATATTATTATTATGGGCATGTGGAGCTTCAGTCGTCCCCTTCCCCTCCCCCCCCCCCCCCCCCCCCCCGCAAAAAAAAAAAAAAAAGAAACAGATTGATTCAGGCGGCGTGAGCGCATCGGCACCGTTTCGCGTTTGGCTCAGACAAGCATTAATAAATTCCGATATTAATTTTATCAGCTAGGTCGTTGCCCAAGATTAGTGCCTTCCACCATGCCCGCAGTTTTGATGTCAGCCTTTCAGTTGCATGAGAAATGTGGGAAGGACCAGCGATCGCTTGTTAGTGCGAACTTTGTCGCGCGCGCTGTATAATGCATACATATGCGTTCTGTACACATGTCTTGAACGTCAATTTTATTGGTCACTGTTATTGCCGTTCTTGCAGTCGTCCGCAAAAGGTTCGATTGTTTCGAAAACCAACGCTGATGTCTACATTCACTTGCTGTAGCAGAACGATCAGGTCGAGTGGGTCCAATAAGAGCTATCCTGTTCGGCGTTGTCTAGTTTTACTTTATTTGAAGATCGACTGCTCCACAGGGGCAAGCAAATACTCGTACTGGGCGTGAGAGTCACATTCGTTTGCGCAAATCACGCGCCAGCCAGCCGGCAACAGAGAGGCGGCAGCCCGCGGTTATAACTCTGTGTCGTTGTAGCTCGGCAAAGGGTGAGCGCAGTGGCGTACCAACTTGTTTTTGAGTGGGGGGGCAAAACCGACCCTCTTCCCCCCCCCCCCCCCCTTAATTGAAAATTCGGCGCAACTTTTGTCGAAGTTTTCTAAGGATGTGGCAATGATTCGGCAAAATTACAACGTTACCAGACTTAACATTGATATTTTGTTTTTTCTCACGAAAAAAATTTTGCTTCTTCTTAAAATAAATACAACTTGTAGTGCCTATTGAAACAGTTATGATTAAATAAGGTGATATTCTACAAGATAATTGTATCGATGTCGCTTTTGTGTGTTTACTGGCAATTTTAGTGTTTGCTTGCAGAAAGTGGCGTGACAACGAGGTTGGGTAATAGCCGGAGCAGTCACGAATCACACTACAAGAGTTTTGATTTTGAGGCTTCATCAGCGCACGCCTGCAAGTGTGTTTACATTGTTAAAATAAAGACAATCACTGCGTTCTTACTTTCTCTGGGAGTCACCGTTTCGTGCGCGAAAACGGATGCAACGGTTGTTTAGCCTTCACCAGAAGAGATAACAATACTGTAAATATGCATGTTTTTCGATTTGAGTCACTTGACGTCAGCTTTGCATGAAAGTGCACGTTCCATATTCGCAACGTGCCGTTTTTAACCTTTAAAATTCCGGTTTCTGGTGTTAGGACACACACGGACGTTTAGGAAGATGGGGAGAGTTAGGAATGTCGGATGTGCAACGTCGAGCATGATAGTTCTGTGTTTAACGAATACTTTTCATCAGTGTTTACTAACGGGTGCTTGGACTTCGTCTCATTTAATTACTTCTTGGACTCCGATCTGATTGAGACCACTACTGTGTATAAATACCTTGGTGTAAGACTAACATCTGACCTTCCCTGGAATAACCACATTGAAGTCATTACCGCCGATTCATCTGGAACTCTTGGACTAAGCAGACGTAACTTAAAAAATCGCTCCACCCTTTGTCCCTAAGCTAACCTTTAACACGTACGTCAGACCAAAAATAGAATATGCTTCAACCATCTGGAATACCCATCGACTGTACCTCATCAATACGCCGTAGAGGCAGTTCAGAACAGAGCTGCTCGCTTCATTTCATCCACTTATGACTTTTCTTTCAGTGCCTCGGCGCTAAAAACTGAACTAACCATGTCCTCTTTGCAGCTTCGCAGGAAAGTCTCTCAGCTGTGCCTTATTCACAAAATCTACTACCACATTCCCGACCTCAAAACCACTTTGTTATTACCCTCGACCGAACATCTTCTCGCCTCAACAACGTCTGCACCATCAAACACACTTCTGGCTCTACGAACGCTTTCAATTGGTCATTCCTTTCTCAAGCCATCAGCCACTGGAACAGTCCCCCATCCTCCATTGTCACCATCTTGGACCCTGCTGATTTCTCCTCTGCAGTAAAACTACACCTTTCTTGGCCCATGTGATGGTGTGCGGGGCTAGGCAGATCAGTGAAAACACTTACGCAGAGCGCTTGCCAGGCCAGACGTGTACGTAGTTCAACTACTTTACTCAAGTTACTGTAGTTTAACTACTTTTCTGGGTAGTTTAGTAACTTTTAATTATATTTCTATTCTAGTAACCAGTAGTTTACTTTAACTACTTTTCCGAGTGACTTCCACTCAAATTACAAATTACTTTCTAATTTTAGTGGTTGTTTTGCCTATCAACAGAGAACAGAGAACAGAGGTCGGAAGGTCAGCTGATATTTGCAGAGGGGGAAGCATGCGGAGTAGAAAAGGGGGGGATGGGAAGGAAGAAAGTGATTTAGATAGTCCAAAAAACCCCAAAATTTTAACGAGCCCCCCCACTGCAACAACACTGCTACGAGGCGCGGGGAGCGAACAGACACGACGCAAGAGAGGTCGAGTAACTGTGGGATTAGCTCCGAATAGTGGCGTTTCTTCGTATTCCGAAGCTCAAGGAGACTTGACGCATTTGAAGAAAGGGCTTGTCCCCGCTTCTCTCCAATGTAGGAATTCTTGCCCACTACAGGAGGTGCACACACTGCTCCTTTTACGGTGCAGGCGATAGAACCCCTAACAACGACGCTCACGCCGGATGGGCTGCTCGTGTATCACTCGAAGCGCGTTAACCCACCCCCGCGCCTGCGTTCACGCCGCTTCGCGGTGACGGTGTGCGGCTGCTAATTACAAATCTATTAACCCACCTAGCCCCCCCACCCCCCGTACACGCCGCTTTGCGGCGTCCGGTCGGCAACCCAAGCCCCGCTGCCCCCCATGCACTTCCGTAAATAGAGTCGATACGATTTAGTTTAGCGATGTTTCGTCAACAACATTCGTTTTTTTAGTGTTAATGGTAA